CATAAAGGAGGATATCATCATGCCTATGAATTAACACAAAAAACATGTCACAGTCACCAACAAAAAAAAAAAAAAAAAGGATTCAAGAGAAAAAATACCACCTACGAAGATATTCTGTTAAAACAAGTAATCATTCTAGGACTGGCGTCATCCATATACAGAATGTTGCATGCAAGAAAATACCATCCTAATTAAGGCAACATTCCTGGAAATGTGAGTGTTCTGAGATTCTACAATAACAAGACTTATCTAAGCAAGAGCATATAAAGCATGGTATACTTCCATTGGATTGGTGCATAATCAGTGATAATAGACCAGCTACACATACACAATAATGACATAACAGAAGTAATAACTAACCTGAGTAACTATAGGAGCAGCAGCACGACTAAGTCCTGTTGAATGCGAAACTCCAAGTGCACGATCCCCAAAAAGTGACAATCCTGATTGTGTGATTTTAGGTTCAAGATGAGTTTCACGTTCGAATAAAGGATCCCACTTCAATGACAAGGAATAATCAGAAGCAATCCCAGCCTGTTGAGCAGGAGCTGAGTGGAGAGATGGCTGAGTTCTATCAACCCAGGTATCTGCTGGAGCTGTACGCTCCTGGGATATTTGAGCAGCATACTGGACAAAGAAAGACATATTAATCTCAAGCACATTCAAATATTTAAGCAAAGAAATTTAAGTTCTAACACTTACAGTTTTCTCAAAAATAGGAACAACAGTGTGATCAACCAAAAACTTTCTTAGCTGTCCCAATACAGCTTCTAAAGCTTTGAGAACCTTCATAGCTTCACCACGAATATCTACAAGTCTCTCGTCTGAAGTAGCATAAGAAGGCAATTCCTCTGACAAAACAAATGCAAAAATAAATATTTGGATGCTTTGGATTTGAAAGAGAAATAGGTGCAATGAATTCAGATAAATAGAAAATAGAACCTACAGAATACAGAAACAAACAAGCATGTGACATTGAGGAGAAAAAAGAGAGAGAAGAAGGAAACATAAGAAAAATTTACTGCCCATCATGGTCAAACTCTATTTCTATCCTACAATCTGGAAGTGAAATGCTGGGCCATTCCCCCACTCTGGCAAAATTTAACCAAGTCTTATTAGATGATTTATCAATAATAAGCTAAAAGAATTAGGCATCCTTCATGAGCACTTAAAAGTCTGAAATACAAATTTATGATGAACTATTCATGCCATGATATCCAATTAACCATTAAAAAACACAAGCATAAGAAGCATGTTCTATGATAAGAGACGAAAGAGAACCCTATACCTTATGAAAAACCAAGCAAACTAGAAAATAAACAAATATTAAAGAGACTCCCTAGAAGACAACCAATTCCTTCGGTTTAAAGACTCTGACACCACAACATTATGAGAGACATAACTGAAGCATCTTTTAAGGTGTTTCATATAACACAAGCAATCTGCAGCAAAAGCTAAAAGCAAACCCTCTGATAAGATGCGCAAGGCAGCTCCGGTGCTCTCTTGTATAGATTTAATTATTGATCCTTGCTTTCCAATTAAATTGATAGCTTGTGCAGATGCTACCATTAACTTTATGGAACAAAAGGTAGTCCCTGCAGCTGGTGGAACAGTAGTATCTCCATCCAGAGTAGATAGACCAGAAACACGTTTGAACACTCTTACCGCTGCATCTATGGCAGGCGGCAACTGTGCCTCTGGCTCTTCTTTTCCAGATATTAGAACCTACATATGAAGTTATAATATCCATTATACCAAATTCACCACAAACATCATTGAAATCTTATTAAATTGGAAGCCCTAACTATAATCAATTCCGAAATTCATAAAAGGGGAAAGACATTAACTTGAAAAACCTAGGGCACAAATTATCACGGTGAATTGATTATTTCATCGAGGAAAAATGGAAGTCGAAAAGGATAGAGAACTCACAATTCGATCGGGAGTGCCAACTGGAGCGTCAAGGATGCGAATACGAGCGCGAGTTTCGTCGCACATCTTCTTGACGAGCTCACCTTTGCGTCCTATAATGCTCCCAACCTTGGAAGCTGGCACTATCAACCTGAAGACGTTGTGACCGGGCCATCCGGGCCACTTCTCGGCCGCATCCGCCGACTTCTTCTCAGCTTCACCACCTTCTTCTTCTGACTCTTGATTTTCTTTCAGTTCATCTGCCACTTGTGCCTCTGCCTCCTGGGGTTCAGTATTTAGGGTAGCCTCAGCAGGAGTTAGTGATTTAGGAGGAATGCTAGAGGCCGGTGGCTCTGCGTTGACGGTGTTGGCAGCTGGTGCGCCGTCGTTTGAGGCCATCAGAATTTTTTGGAGCGAAAATATGGATACGGGGGGAAGGGAAGCGGGAGAGGGAGAAAACGAGGGTGACGAGAGTGCTTTTCGCTCTACCGACTCACACCCAAGCCCATGTTTTTAGGAAGGAAGAAGCTTCAACTCCAAGCTCATGTGCAATGGACCTAATCCATCTCAAAAATGAATGGACTTATGGATTTGGTGAGCAGATACTTTACGGGCACAGGCCGACCCAAAGCCCATGGACAACGAACCTAGCCCATCTTGGCCAAGAAATGAACTTTGAAGTTTGTAGTCTTGTACAGAGTTTGCTGATACTAAAAAAAAAAAAAAAAAAAAAAAAAAGAAGCTATTTTGTAGGGAAGAATGATGTGGAACTTGGATTGCGACTGCAACATCATAGCCTACATGGGAATCTGGGATCCATTCATCTAAGCGCCTATATTCTACAATTCAGTACAAATAGAACTGCAAAAACTATTTTCGTTTAGAGATCAACACTCCCCTTCGTCTCATGGTTAGTTTTGTGCACCATAAACTGCATAAAGCATCTGCCATTAAAAATCACTTCTTTTTCCAGAAATAGATTTCTTGCAAATTATATGTAACATAATACGTAGATGCATGCATGAGAAAAACAAATAATAATGTAAAAATAAATGAGTCATGGTATTTAAAATTATTACCATGAATCTGAACCTTAGCATTGGAAATTATTGGAAGGAACAAGTTATCACTATACTTAGTTAGCAAATCTTTTGCGGATTCAAATGCTTGCAAATGACAAGTTGAACTGGAAAACAGTTTATTCAGCTTAAAAGAACTGCTTGACTATCGGCATACAGCCTCCACCAACCATTTTGCCTAAAGGTGCTGGTTGGTTTTGATGGCCCCTTCAGCTTTCATTGGTGTTACAACAGCTTTCATTCTGGAGAACCATCTGAATACCATGAGGAACATATGTAAAAGGAAGTTATGAAGCTGAATAAATTGAGTAGAAACTCAGGTGAATACCTTAGCTATGTTGGAACCAAAGGATGAAATAGAGTTCTCAACAGTCTTTGTTTGGGAAGAAGCTAGAGAGCATTCAGCTGTCCTTCTGATCAGTGCTCTCACTCAATGCAATCCAAGCTCCAAATTATAGGCTGAGGGAGAAGCTTAGTTCTTCTCAATCCATCTCATAAAGATGTATGTATCGTGGTTTGAGTTTTCTGATCTAAGTGTGAGCACTTAGTTCCTGCCAGGACCTGTATTCAAGTGCTGTGAGGGTTGAGCATACGGTGATAACTCCATGAGTCAAATTCTATGAAGGAATTACTGGTAAGGGCTAATAAATACATACAACAACTCAATCTAACTAAAATAGCTTAAATAGACAATAAAAACTTTTTGAAAAAATGCATACCTCCAGCAGTCCTTCCTGACCAAATGAAGATTTAGTCTTCACATGCACAAAACTTCTACCATTGTTCAAAATTTAGAATTGGATGGCCATAGCTTGCAAGCCAGACCTGATATTTTTCTCCATGTTCTATTTCCGTGATGATTAGCTTATTTAGAGAGGACAAGCTCATTTTCCCCTCATCAACCACTTTTGGTAGAGATCAAATGCCATGTCATGCTGTCCCACTTGGCAGTACTTCTTGATAAGTATCTTAAATGGGACATGATCAATTTGTAAACCAGATCTTCGCATCTTGGTCAAAAGCTTTTCTGCTTCCTTCACATCCCCTCTCTTACAGTAACCTCTAATTAGCTCAGTGTAAGTAATTATATCTGGTTCAATTCCTCTTTTCAGCATTTCATCCTGTAATTCAAGTGCAACAGCAATATGTCCTGAGCTACAAGCAGCACCAATCAACAAGTTGTAAGTTACTAAATCTGGGAAAAGGCCATTTAAAAGCATCTCCTTTTTAAGAGAATATGCCTTGACATTGTTTCCACCTTTTGCTTGAGCATGAATCAAAGCATTAAAAGTAAATACATTTGGTGCAACACCAAGTGATAGCATATGGTCTTTAACAGAGAGTGCATTACCCAGATCTCCAAATCTTCCATAACCACCAATTATGAGGTTCCAAATAATAGGCTCTGGCATCAGCGTCTTCTCTAACATATGGTGAAGAAATTCATTAGCTTTGACAAGATCTCCATAAGTGCATAGACCTCGAATAATTATTTTGTAAGATGTCTTATCAGGAGCAACTCCCATTTTTAACATAACATTATGGATGCGCCAAGCCTCATCAAATTTTCCTTCTTTGCAAAGTGCACTTAAAAGAGTATTAAAAGTGAAACAATCTGGAACAAAACCTCTTTTAAGCATTTCAGCAAAGTATCCATAAGCAACATTGATGTGCTGACTCAAACAAAATCCATGGATAAGGACATTATAGGCAACCAAATCAATTTTAATATTCTTGTGAAGCATCTGATCCCAAAGACCAAGAGCTTGAACTGTGTCCCCACTCTTAAAGTAACCATCCATAAGTATAGTTGAAGTAATTAAATCTGAAGATGTTTTTTCATTGTCATCACTTAGTATCTCACCAAGAAGCTTCTTAGCATCATCCAGAAGACCTCTCTTGCACAGTGCATGGACAAGTATGTTACACGTAACTCTATTTGGCCTGATACCATCAGTAGCCATTGCAGAGAAAAGATAAAGAGCTTGATCCAAATTATTTTTAAGGCAGTGGCCTTTGATATAAGTGTTATAGGTCACCAGGTTGGGAGGTGGACCCATTTCTAACATGTCTCTAATAAGAGAATCTGCCTTCTCAATGTCACCTATTTTGCACAGGCCGTTTAGAAGACAATTGTGTGAAACAACATCTAGAACAGCACCTTTCTGTATCAGTTTCCTCCGCAACCATAGAGCTGTTTCCAACTTCCCCTCCAAACACAAATACCTGAATAAGGTTGCCTGGCTAGGATTTGCAGCTTCTAGGGTGCAACTGTCAAAACCCACATTTTCTAAATCTAAGTGTATGCTTTCCCTGCAAACTCATACATAAAGGAAATTATATTACAATAAAAGCCTTGCAGATTAGGAACTCTTACCATTTATATCTTGTTGAATCATCAATAAGAATGCTGTAACATATTCAACATGACTAACTGAGAGGTCTTACTCAACAATCAATCCTTCCCAGCATAAAGTAAGACAGAACAACAGTTTTACAACACTATGAACAAGACTATTTCTAACATCAAGATGGAGTCTCCACTTGGAGAATTTTGTTCAGATGTCAAATATGCATACTAATATAAACTTAGTGAGAAAAAATGAAAATTGGTAACTTTTCTATTCAAGATGCAACCAAATCATCCATTTGGAACACTAAAAGAAAATTGCACCTCAGCTAGTCAACCAAACCCAGAATAAGAATCTTCATGTATATTGACCCGACGCAAAAACATTTAACCTGATCTTCAAAGATTCATTCTAATTTTAAGAAGTGGGATTGGATAAACAAATATTACTTTTTTTTCTGAACCATCTAAATCATTTCAAGTGCAGAGATATTATAAGTTATGCTCAAGCAAAAGATAGAATTAGAAGCAAGCTTCACCTTATTATAAAATGTTAAAGCCTAGAGCAGTTGATATTCAACAGTTCTCCTAGTTCTTCCACTCTATAGGGCAGTGCAACTCTCCTACTTCATATTTAGAAGCAAAAAGTTCTGGATTTCACAATACACAATTTGAAAATCTGACCTCATGTTTTTCAAACGCTCCAAACTATCCTTCAACACTGAATCCAATACATTGAATACTGCCCCTGGATCACCTTTGTCATCACAATCCTTCTTTCTTGAAAACCAGTCTTGAGTTGTAAATCGATAACAATCACCGACACATGTCACAAGTTCTCCAATAGATGTAAGTGGACCCTCATTCTCACCAGTCCTTCCATATTTGCACATCCACATTAGACAAGAAAATGCAATGAGAAGCCTAATGCATCAAAACAAAGTATGGGATTGCAAACACAAAATCAAAGCTTGAACCCACTTTATAACAAGGTTAACAAAAACCCATATTCGCAAATATGCTACTCTTTGCATTCTTTTATACATACAGGACAGCTTCATAAAGTACCCGAACAGGTATATTGTTATCAGATTGTGCAACTAAAATCTAGGAAATATCTACCTCCAGTGAAGATATTTTTTCTTCATTACATAAGAATTAGATTTCCATTTAAATTTAAGTTTCTACTCTCCTCAGCATTTTCTCGGCAACCAAACAGAGACTTAATCATATTATTACAAACACAAGTTTCAAATGCATTACTTATATCTTTCACTGCAGCTACCTATATAATACTGAAAGTAAGAACTCGAAACTCAAGCTCCTCATCAGTTTACCTGGTATGAGGATCGATGTTTGATTCGCAACAGAAAATGTTGGAAAAGATCTGAGAAACATTGTGCTTGATGAAATTCAGCAACCGGAGAAAAACAATATTTGACGATGAATACGATTCCCCACAAGCAAATGCCAACTGCAATCATCCAAGTATCAATTAGAGATACAGACTATGAATAGCAGAGGATTTTCCTGGAAAATTAAAGGGAAAACTCACGGCCATTAGATGAAATTCGTCGGAGGTTATGGAGTCTCGACGGCTCCTAATCGTCGCCGGAGACAAAACAGTGCGAATAGGGGGGAAACAGAAGAAGGCGCACCACCATTCTTCTCACAAGGCTAAAACTAAGACCTCGTTTTTCATTTCTCGGCTACGTCCAAGGGCTTTTTGGATCGATACAGATTCTAATAGGCCCAGGCCCAGGCCCAGGATTGTGATTCTCAACCCTTGGCCCTGTTTGGTTAACAGACAAAAAGGAAAGTGATTACGGTTGCAATTCTTTTCTTTTTTTCTTTTTTTTTTCTTTTTTTTTTTAGACCATTGCAATTATTTTCTTTTTCTCTTTTCTTTTTTTTGAACTTGGGGAATTTTTGGGATATGGAGTAGTGTTTGGGTATTAAATTTAGAATGTAACTTATGGAACTTTTGGGATATAAAATAGTATTTGAGTATTAAATTCAGTACTTCATCTTCTAATACTTTTCATTACGAGAGTGACCACTGGACTATTTAGTGCTGAACCATTGCAATTATTTCTTAATTTATAATAATATAATACATTTTACGGGGTATTTGTAAGGGCAGTTATACCAGACCAGAAAACACGCAAGGCTAAGTTCCAAGATCACCGCACTTTGGCTGCGGAACTCAGAGCTTGCCGCACCTCGGCATTTCGCTGAGAGTGTATGGCAGCCACAGTAGGCGCATCCTCACCTGATCACTCATTCTTACCGGAACACCCTCTCTCAAGGGACCTGCTCCGTCAGAATGCACCACGCGCATTTAATGCAGTTACTCCGTTAAGGCACGTTACATCCACCTAAAACGTCTACTCCGTCAGGCGCACTATGTCACAATTATTGGATTGACTAAGCCACGTGGGTGCGGACGAGCCACGTGGGTGCGGACGAGCCACGTGGGTGCATTGCCAAGATGGACAAAGCCCACGAGGTAAGGTTTGATAAATAGGCAGAACAAAAAGAAAAACAGGATGAAAAAAAAATACTGACTTAAGCATCGGAGTTTCTCCCCGAGGACCAACCTCAGGATCTTGCAGGACCACTTGAAGAAGAATCAGCTTGAAGCAGGAGCCCAAGGATATTCAGCAACTACAGTATTGATGCAAGGGAGACCTCCCCTCATCACTTCATTAATGTTGCACAGACTACGCATCACTATATAAAAAGTATAACGTTACGTCTTTAAGATTTTCTAAACAGCTATTAGTTTTAAAATTATATAAAAACTGGACAAAAAACATCTGACTGTAAATAAAAAAACCTTTTCTATTAATAAAAACATAAATAACAGTCTAATAATTTCATTTCCTTTGTCAATCTCTTTTTAGTTTCATCTCTTTTTAATAAATAAATATAAGTTTTTCCTTCATCTCTTGTCTGTCATTTGCTGTCTCCTACCAAAGTTGGCTTGCCTAGAAGCCGAGGCTTGGCGATTAAGGTGCAAACTGGTGTTACCGAATTTGAGAGGTACTACTTGCTCCATGTATGATTCCCCAGGGAAGTTCCTCTTTTCTTTTGGAAGTGTTTGTAGCTGAGGTAACCAATATGCCACAAACTCTCCTTCAGGGTCATATGTTTGTGCCTGAAAGGCCATTAATCCGTGATTGATAAGGTACAAAAGCTTCCTGGAACGCCATTTCTTTCACGAGTATTTCACATGAAATGATGCAATCTGAGATTGAGAGAACTTACTTGCTTGGGGATGCTAAAATAACGATCTTCCCTTGGGTCATTCCCAACTCCTTTAAGAAAGAAAGAGAGGATATCATATGAGGTGAATGTAAAGCTAACATGCTATTGCAATATAGGCTGAAAGTATGTATCCAAAATAAGAGTAATGGCTAGTTTTCGCTAATATTCCTATGTTCCCCACCAGGGATGATATCATCAATTGTCAGAAACAATATATAAACCCAAGTGCTCCCAAATTAAAAGGGTTACTACTAAGGAGAACAGACAATTGTTATGAATTAGGGGGATCAGACTTGACTTCAAAAAAGAAAAGGAATGTGCAGAATTCTGTACCAGCTCCATAGGTCCAGTTCCCATAATTGGAACATGGGTCGTAGTCTAAAAGGCACGTCTCAAACCATTCTGCTCCCATCCGCCAGTCAATACCCATGTCTCGGACAAGAAAGGAACATACAATCTGTACAAGTTAATCATCTAATCACCAGTTATACTGAAATTGTTGTTTATTTACAGTAGGAGACTCCAAAAACTAATGTTACAGATTGCCTAAGGATTTCAGCATGCTATATTTTGGCAGTGCATTATCACCACATTCTCAAGTGGACAAAAGTACTGTCGCATCAAAATACAACTTAAAGTTTACCTGCCGTCCTCGATTTGACATGAAGCCAGTGGTTGAGAGTTCTTTCATGTTGGCATCTATCAGTGGATATCTGGATATGTTCAAGCTCACATTAAGTAATGATGATAAAGGAAAATACACTTGACGACATTCAGAAACAATGTGCAAAGAATTGTTTATTGCTTCTTTTCTTGGGGATTTGAACATACTGTTTCCCGGATGAAAGTAAGGAAAAAGAACAAAAAAGAAGTCAGAAACCATTTTTCATTTTAGTTTAACGTTTCTTGAGGCTAAGATAAAAAGTAAGAAAGAAAAGAAAAAAGAGTAAATTGAAAAAGGAGGATGCCGCATGTAGATTTGCATCACGTCCAGAGATCCAAAGCGTTCTAATTTAACTAAGTTCTGAGTCCAGTGTTTTGAAGTCCGGTGCAATCCGGACAGTCAAACACTTTATCGAACTTATACAATCAATTAATAATAGATAGAATAGCTTTGTCATTATCCTTTCTTGATTACTTATTTTTTAAAGTCCTGTTTCAATAAACAAATGACTCAGTTAACAGCTAAACTCCATGCCAAACCAAATTATCAATAAATAAATAAAAAGGAGGTTCAGAGATGGTTGATTGAACAATGTCTTGTACCCTGTGCAGCCATTCCTCCAGGATTCAAACAATCTTTGGTCTTGACTCCATTTGTGCTGCAAATTTCTTGGGCCACCTACAAGGAAATTTGATTTGACATTAAAAAAAGCACTCTGTCTGAAGGCAGCCTGGAATGCATGGCAATACTCACAATTCATCACAATAACATCATTAATTCAAATGCCTCTGTGAATGCTGATAATAGCAAAGGAGGCAGGGTTTTTCAACCAAAACATTTTTTTATTGTCATGCTTACCTAAATGAAAAAGGGAACTCCCATATTTGATTGAAAGAAATCTGAAGTAGTCTCTCCAAATCAACTCAAACAACACCCTGCAAAATCATTTTCAACAAACTCAAGTCACATATCTCACTGATGTTTGATCCTCTTACAATACTCATGCCAGCTATCTGATTGGATGCTTGCTTTCAAACGAGGTGAAGCCTAGATATCTACTGTTGATTGTTAAAAAGTTTAATGAGTTATAACACAATCTAGTATGGAAAATGAAAAAGTTCTTCCTTGACTTAAATTAACTACTCAAACAAAGTAGCCACCAAAAGGGGGAACAAGAGAATAAGAAGAAACAGTGACCATAGATTGTATTGTCTCAGTTTGACTCATCTAATTTAGATTTGACAAGATAGTCACTGCTTCATGTTTAGGTTGAGAAATACCAATATGTGGAGTCATTTGCCTGCCTTTCCCTTTCATATCTCTTTACCTGAAAGAATTGATAAGAAGACTTGCTCAAGGTCAATCATCCTTCTCCCGTAGTATAGTTATGTATCAACTACAAACCAAGGAAAATTAATGGAAAAAAAAAAAAAATTGTAAACCTCTTCATGAATGAAACGAGGAGAGAGGCTTCCAGAAGCAAGCCATGGAGAGAACTTGGTTGAGTAATCAGGTCCTAACATCCCATTCCTGGTCTCCTTGTATATTCCTAATAAGTCCTATAGATGCAAACAGGTAACACAATTAAGCTTAGAGAATTCAAATACCCTCCCTTGACTGCACATAAAGCTGTAAATAATAATCTCCACTATTCACAATAAACAATGAGCAATTTCATTTTGCCTTATTCCAGAAATACTCAGTTACTCTGCTCAGTGCAGCACTTTCACCCCCTGAAAACCTCATTCCTTTGCTAGCCTGTATGAAGAGGGAAAACTATTAACACACACTCTTGGTTTAGCATATGGAGTGTGCATTTCACATTCACCTGCCTTTTCTGAGTGAAGTCCCAGCTGCTCAACTGAAGGAACATTCCCCCAGTCATCAATACTGGGAGGTGGCCCTAGAGATTCTGGAATTTTAATGCACCCTCTGATTTTGCACTTGGCTTCAACAGACTGCAAGCATTTATTTCATGAACAAACAGCTAATATGTAAACCCCCCTCATTAAAAAAAAAAAAAGGGCAAGAAAGAAAAGAGTGTAAAAGCCCCCTAATCATTCACTTCCTCAATAGATATAATGAATTTGAGATAGTGACAGAATCATGCCTTACGAAACTGAGTATATACATCAGGTAAGCTGTTGATGCTGAATGGGAGGTCATCCATGTGATACATAGTACTACCCCATAAAAGTTGTAGCTTAGGATTGTTCATAGCATTTGTAGATGGTGATAACGCTACCTGTTGCAGACCTTTGTTGACCATTCTCTCAACTTGTAACTCCTCACTGCAGGTCTCTTTTTGGGCATATACCTGCCAGGTTAAATGAAAAATGCATCCATCATACAGCTTTAGTAACTGGGAAAGTTGTGCCACACTACAAACTTATTTTAAAAGTCAATCGTGGAAATCACCGAACTGTGTGAGCACCAAAATCTTTTGCAAGAGCAGGGAGAATCTCCTCAGGTTTCCCATGCTGAATAAGAAGGTTGAGGCTCCTCTTCTGTAAATTCTTCCTCAAGTCATCCAAGCATTCTATAAGAAACTGTGCTCTTAATGCTGAAAAAAATCCAAATAAAATTAGAAAACAAACAATTTAATAAACAAAACCAAACTAAACCCACAAAAAATTGCCCATTTCCTACATTGATTTTAAGGCTAAATTTGCAATATCATGCGATAATTTAACAGAACTAGAAAATGAGAAGCAAAGAGCAGCACTTATGTACCTCCAGTTTTAGGGAAACCAAAGCAATATGTTGTTCCAAAGAGACGAGGATCAACACAAAACACTGGCAAAACCGTCTCAGAGGAAACCCATGCCTTAAACAAAGCCTCATTGTCTAAAACCCTCAAATCATTCCTAAACCAGACAATGGCAATCCCCTTTCCATTCCTGTTTGCCGTCTTTACTGAGTATCTCTCAAAGGTTTTCTCAGCAATGCTATCTATTTCATGGGAATCTAGCCCGGGAACCTGGAACACTGATGAAGAAGAAAGGGGTTTAGGTACAGATTTTAAACTGGAACCCATGATTTGAATGTAAAATCGAAGCTTATTTCGAGTTGAAAATTTGAATATGGAAGATGGGTTTATTCCTTTTCTCAGTGAAAGAGACGAAGCTGGGATGATGGCCATACCGCTAATTACTGCATGTAGTTGAGGTTTTATAGCTAGATGAAAGAGAAGATGAGAGAATGACCATACCCGATGTCTTTAGCAGTGACGTGGCGATTTCTTCACCGGCCGGCGCGTCTAAGGCGATCTGTCAAGCTGTGAGCCACAGGATTTCACAGACCCTACCTTCCGCCACGTCTCTTTCCGGCTTTCCACCCCCGAATCCGGAGTCGATAAATGTAACAGCCGTTAGATCATGAATAGCGATGGATTCAAACGGCGTCGTTGGATAGTGAAACGCGTCGTTTAGTACGCAAAAAATCACAAATGACAAAATGGTTTTTTTAATCTTTGCTTTTATGGCATAAATTAAAAGTACTTTTTAATTATTAATATGTATAAAAAATGTTAAAGCTTCAAAATTCATATTAATTTTAATACCTTTGTTAGGTAAATAAACTTTATTTAGTTGTTTATAAATTAAAAATTAATATTTTTAATATAAATTTATAATAAAAATATATATTTATTATATTTTTAATTTGATCATATGAATTAGAAAAAACTTATAAAAAATTAGCCTTATTTGTCGTTTTGGAAAAGCAATGTTGCCCTTAAAAATATTTGACTTTGTTTGCCAGTAATATGTGCTATGTTATAGTGTGATAGTTACCAAAATATTTTTATTTTTAATTATCTTAAAAATATATAAAATATTAATTAAAAATATATAAAAGTTTATTAAAAGTGATTATAAATTATAAATTTATATTTTTGATAAGGTGTCATGTGAAGAAATATATGCCAAGTATTGTTAAATGAAGCCTTTGTAACTTCTAGCATTAGCGATTTGTGGCATTCAAAAAAGCTGATGGAATTAATTGACATACAAGAAAACTACAAGGGCCATATTGCTGTTTCAAAAACAGTTTGAGGTCTCATTTAGTGTTTTATTTATTTATTTATATCACATCGGGATTAAGCTTCACCAGTCTCTGAAGTTGTCTGGCTATTTCTGGAACCTGCCGAGAAGGAAGAAGAGCAAGATCGCGGAAACCAGCGCCGTCTGACGGAGGTAGTTTCTCTCTTCTCTGCAATAATCATGTATCTGAATTGAGAAATGCTAAGTTGTAACCTCCATTAACCTTGCTTTCGTCATCATTTTGTTCTGTTTTCGTGGGGAAACTGAGGCTGAAGGGGAAGCCCCTAGATGTGAAGTCAGGTGGCGTCATCAAAAAGAAGAAGAAGAAACACGAGCATCGCCATTATTCCAACTCAGCCATGGAAGAATCTAGCCTCTCTTCAGGTTGGTCCCAAACATGTTTATCTCTGACATCTGTATATTCTCTTAGAATATGAATTGAAACTCTCTGCTATTACTGAGTTGGATACCTCTGATTTCAAATCCATAGTCTTGAAAAATTAATCTGCAAAAAGACTGAACTTCATTGATGTGGGAGTTGTAAAAATTTTCAAATGACATAGATTTATCAAAATTAATTCTTGATGAATTGATACGTTGTTGTGGAGGTGTATATTGAATTGGAGCTGCATAGGATAAATAAAGCATAGGACTTTACCAGTTTTGGTTGCGCCTTTCCTATGGGAATTATGATTCATGTCCCGAATCTCTCAAAAGATGGGAACTTTTACCTTTTTCTTGTTAAATTTGGTTAGCTTATGGTGCATCTCACATTAGTGTTTGCATTCAACTATGCTTATTCTTGTGTTTTTGGTGTTCACTTTTTGGAGGTTGACAGGAGGAAAGACAGGATTTTTAACTAATCATCCAGAGGATGATATAGATGAGAATGAATGGGGTGGCAGCAGAGGCAATGCTTATGATGATTGTCTCACGCCGGCTGAGAGGAAATTCCTCCAACAGACAGAGAAGCTTTAGCTCCAGAGACTGGCTAAGATGGCCAGCAGATCACACGGTAATCGGATTCAGGAATTTAACCAATATCTGGCTAATCTAGGTGAGCATTATGACAAACGTAAAGTTGGCCCTGGTTAATATGCACTCTCTCTCCATTTTGAAACTGATAATCTGTGTTGTTTTCAGTTGGTTCAATGGGACTGGGTTGGATTTCAGAATCCCAAAGGTGCATTGTCAATTCCTCAGAAATCTCTCTATTTGTATTTGGATTGTTGTACCATTTGAAACAACTGTCTGAAAATTTGTGCGTTAAGAACTTTATCATTGAATTGGATGGTTTAATAAATTGTGTTCTTCTGATGGCCCTCCTGAATATTTGATCTCTGCCTCTCTATCAATACGCACACACACATGCACGAGCACAAGCAGTCCATGGTTTGCCATGGATGCTCTTGTCAGAAAAAAGATGACAACTTTTCACTTTGTTTTGATGATCTTGAGAATTGTCATGTTGGACTTTTGAACTTTGCTTGTCAAAAAATGTGCATAGAATCTCCACCATAAATGATTTTACAACAGGCATGTCTTAACATACAACAAGATTGCAGATTTTACATGATGATAGATGGCATAATCACAAATTTTTGTTCGCGTAGTCTATCAGCGCCTTTGAAATACAAATAAAGAACCTCTAGAACCCTTCCCCAACCTGATCTTCTCGTCTATGTAAGTAATCTGCAGCTTGACCTCACTCTCGCCCCCATATATGAATTCCAGTGATCCTACCTTAAGTTCAGGTGGCTCAAAAATAACTTGAATCCATTTATCATCCAAAACCGTGAGTTTTCCTGTATGCATGTGCATCCATCAACGTTAACATTGCAAACTCATTTCTGTTTCTTTATTCAAAGAACAAAATCATGGATGACAAGATGAGTCTACCTTTCAATGAAACCTCTCCATCAAGAAACCCCAAAGCAGAAAAGGAGACCTTGTTCCTCACAATGTCAGGCGATTCAACTGCCTGAATCATTTCTTTGGTCCTAAAGAAAAGGCGACCCAATGTACTCCTATAGCCACCACCAGGAGACGTTGGCCTGGAGCAGTAAACCACATCCCATTCTGCAAAACCAAACTCTTAAAATGTGACTTTGAAATCCTGAGCTTCTTATACCAAACCTGACCCAAAAATGTAGCAACAAATTCTTCTGGATTCAGGAGTTAAAATCATGTTTTGAATTAATACAACTGAAAACCCGTTTGATTGATTTCAACTGTCAAGCAGTTCTGCATTTGATTTTACCTCCAAAGATGAGAGGGCTTTTAACTGGTTCATCCACACAATAGTTTTGCAGCTCCTGAGCCACTTCAGCTACCTCCTTGTGTTCTTCTTTCGTCAATGAAACTCCTCCATCTGTTTGTGTCACCTGATTCAGAGATTCCATCAAATTCAAAACATCCCAAAAGAAACAGAGTGCTCTACTAACTCCTCCAGAAAAAATAAAAAAAAAAAGCTGAAAATCAATCAAACCTTGGAGAGGATGGATGCGACGAGATCATCCGGTCCGGTTCGCAACCCTGGACTCGAGATGGAGAGCGAACTACAAGAGATCCTCAGAGTTCTGTTTCCTCCATATCTGACAGGGATCGAAGCTTTTAATAGCGGATTTAGGGGCTTTGGCGCAGAGATTGCAGTGTTCGGTTTGGGGAACGGCGATGAGAGAGTAAGAGAATACGCCGCTGCCATCGCCGGAGAAAAATGGATAGCTATGGATCTTCCATACGAGTTTCTATCAGGTGAGTGGGATGGATAATGCCACGTAGGCAAAGAAATCAAACGAGGACCCACAACCATATCAAGATCTGGTTTGCATTCTGCGAGTCATCAGTTTTGAGTCGGAAAATAATTTTAAAAAAATAATTTTTATATTATTTTTATATAAGTTTATTTATTATGTAAATAATTATTTTTATTTATTTATTTAAAATAATGATATTATGTATATTTATTTTTAATAATAATTAATATAAAAAATACAATAATTACACTTTTAACTTGTATTTTTAAAAATATAAATTAGATAAATCTTAACTTTTAAATTCCCTTTTAATGCGATTGTGGATCTGATTTTGCCAATGTTACTCTATTATTATTTGAAATAAGTTCTCAAACTTCTTAATTATCGGCATTAAGCCGTTGGAGTTTCCTCTATGGCAAATAAGTTCTTTTAGTTGTCAACCTCTATAAATTCATCTAAGTTAGACTAGAAGGGTCTCGTGCCACTTGTGATTGTTAGTGAGCGGTGATATGGAGCTATCTTATTCACAAGTTCAATCTTTTATCTTTAGAGATTTCACGAAAAAAGTGATTTATTCTTCACGAGTTTTCTAATTTTTAATTTTTAATGTGATTTATTTATTAATAAGAAATTAGATAACTCTATCTCAATTCTGTCTATTGGGTGATTGTTGTGATATTCTCTAATTCTATTCATTGGATGCATTCAAATCTCCATAACATAAATTTTGTATTTAACCATAGTCCTGAATTTTATGTTTTTGACCATTTATTGAACATTTGAAGCTGAGTTTATGCAGAAACCACACGACATTGAGAAGAAACACCTAAAAATTCAAGTGTTTTTATTGATCGTTGGGCTTTTCTGGGCTCCGGCCTATAGGAGCAGAATAGGCTGAGCCCAAACGTTTCATACTTCGAGCTCGGCCTGTTTAAAATTATCAGGTCCAAGCTGACTCTAAAAATGAACCGGGAAATAAAATGTAAGACGTGGCAGAATCTCAGCCATGAAACTTCTTATCAACGATAACGAGGTCACCGACGGTCGCCACTATAAAGACCCATCAACTGATCAGAACCGTCTGCTCGAATTCTTCCCGCTAATGATCAAAAGCGCGGGAACATTAATAAGAATAAAAATAAAAAATAAAAAAATAAAAAATAAAAATTAGTGACTCAAACCGTCGCTGTGAGGTCAGAGGGCATATCAAAAAGGCAGAAATATTTTTTTTTTACGGATTCAGAAGAAGACAGAGCGTGATAAAGAGTCAGAAAAGAGGAGAATGGCGCCGAAGAAGCGACAGAGTGAGGCGGAGGAGGAGCAACCAAAGCCGGAACTGGCGGTTAGGAGAGTCACACGGAGTTCGACTCGACAAGCGGATGCCAAGCCGGCCGTCGTGAGTCGGTCCGAGTTGCCTAAGAAGAAGAAACTGAAAACTGTTATGAAGAAGGAGGAGAAAGCCGAGGAGAACGTGGTGGCGGAGGAGAAGGAGGAGACAGGAAAGCCTGAGGGGGAAGAGAAAGGAAAAGTTGAGGAGGATGAGAAAAAAGGGGATAACGGTGATGAGCTTGACAACAAGAGGACGATCGTGATTGAGTACTGGTAAGGTTTTCTGTGCTTTACTCGATTTAAGAAACTCGAAATGTGAAGGTTTAAGTTAGTGAGATAGTGTTAGTTTTTTTTTTGGTTGAAATTGGTAATTAGTAATGTTTGGTTTAGAGTTAGGTTAAGTCTGGTTCATTATCTGTGAGAGGAAAACAGGTTTATGAGTAGGATTATTTCAGTATTGTTAACTAATTGAGAATTGGTATTTGCTATCCTTGATAAGTTTAATTGGTTGATGATAAATTGGTGCCGAAGAAAGGAGAATAATGCTCTAGGGTTTAAAGTATTGGTATGGCTTTTTATTCTAGGATTGCCCTGTTTAAGAAATGGAGATAAAAATGAGAAATAAGGTTTCAGGTATTAGGTTTGCTAGCTAGTAATTACTTGGAAACGGGAAGGAAATATAAATGTCTTTTCTGATTTATGAAGCTTTTTGTGGTTCCCATTTTGATAAAGGTCAAGAGATTGCAAGTTCCATGCTGTTTGCGTTTGTGTTTCTACGCTTGTTTTCAATTTTGATAGAGTAGATTGAAATGGAGTTCATGATGAGAGGAACTGGAAGTTAAATTACTGCATAGAGGTCACAAGATTTATTTGGTTTTTTGTTATATGATATCCTCTATGATATCCTCCTCACTAATGGTTTTCTTTCATTTAGCAAGCAATGCAATTCTTTTAAGACAAGGGCCTTTCAAGTCAGAGATGGTTTGGAGAAAGGTGTCTCTGGTGTCATGGTCAAGCTGAACCCCGATAAGGTGAAGATAACTTTCAGAAAAGCAATTAGATCCCATGAAATTCTATGCAATTCAGTTAGTCTATAAACCTATTTGATTCATGCATTCTTTGTTTAATGTTATCTTCTTTGCACTGGGGCCTTAAAGACTGGGGGTGGAGGAGTTTCTTTGTTTTTTACTGTTAGTGATTTGTTAAATATTTACATTTGGTTGTTTAACATGTCAGTTGTTTTATCACTTTACAATTCTTAAATCTTAAATGCCTTGTGTCATGTGAAAGGATCTCTTCTCATTCTTTTTTGGTATTTCAACAGCCAAGAAGAGGTTGCTTTGAGATACGAGAGGAAGGTGGTGAGATGTTCATCAGTTTGCTGGTATAAGTTGGGTTTGCTGCATTTGCAAATATTTGGTTTATTTTAGTCAATTGCATTGTAGTCTTGCCTCTTGCTTTCCATCTTACAAGTTTTTTAACGAAATGACCATAAAATGGTTGTGACAATAAGCTGACATATTAACTTCCATATAAAAGGAGATGCTACAGACTGGTACTGCACTTCATTAAATTAAAAATTTATGGCTTGTCCTGTCAGTATGTTTGAATCTTCTATATAACTGCTTTCTCTGGTTGCTTTTTGCAGGACATGAAGCGACCATTCAAACCAATGAAGGAGCTTGACATGGAGAAGGTGATTTCAGACATTGTTGATAAGATCAAGTGAAACATGAGGCAATGCTTCATTTCTTATGGTAATTGCATTTTGTGGTTTAGTGAAGTTGTTTTCTCTCAACAGGGGTAGACTTAGTCTGACATCTGTCCGTTACTTGATTTTGTGTACTTAAATCATTATCTTCTTTTGGTTGCTTCAAGTCATCTTGGTGTTGCCAGGAGAAGAGAATGCATTAGCCATTGGACAACCAAGGCATTTTAATTACTGTTTATAGGCTCATAATGAGCTCCATTTGTACTGCAGTTTTTTGCAATATAAAATGGTATGGTATATTTATTAATGATTTTAACGTGTATTTTTTATTTCATCCTTAACTCTGCTTTCCAATTTTCCAATCAACTTCCTCATTTTTGCTGTAATGTCACCAAAGACCAGACCCACTACCAAACCTATCACTGCTGCAAGGCCAATGCCTGGACCTGCACTCCAAGAACCAGAAGTTGGTGAATCAGCAGCTTTATCGCCTGGTGCTGGTGCTGGTGCTGATTTGTGCTTGAAGTTGGCTGGAGCATCAGCCACTGGGGCGTCAGCTGGGGAGGGAGCAGGCACTGGTACCTCATCCTAGTCATCAGCATTATCGTTACCTGGAGAAGGGACTCCAGCCTTCTTGGGACTTGGGGCTGGAGGTGGCAAGCCAGGTGGCGGTGGAGGAGCAAGAACAGCCTTCCCAATGCCAGGAGGCACAATGGGTGTGCTAACACGAAGCACAGAGATATTGAAAGGCTGAGCCAGCACAGAACCCAACAGTTTTGCAACCAGGGGTGCATCCTGCACTGCTGAGCCAAACACAACATTCCCTGGACTCATCTTGGTCATGTTCAAGAACCCTTGGCCGTACTGAGCAACACCGGTGGTTTGGTACAGATTGGTGAGAGTGATGCTCCTCTTCCCCAACCTTTGGATCTTGAGGGTATCATGGTAGTCGAGCACGATGTGGGTCATAAGAATCCTCTTGAGCTCGTCTTGGGCTCTGCCGGAGATGGAGCCCATGGAGTCATTGTCCACGGCAAGGACGGTGATGGTTTGGCGGTTCTTGGTTAGTTCGTTGATACCAGTCTTGTTGATAACGTCACTAAAGGTGCCAAACTCAGGGTAGTTGGTAAGTATCCTGGTGACATTTATGGCCATAGTGGTGGTGGAAGAAAAAACAAGGAAGACGATAAAAGATAGGAAAGCCGAGAAGGTTTTGGGATTCATTTCCCCTGAATCTTAAAATAGAGAAGATAAAACGAAAAAGCCCCATTTGCAAAGTGCATGGTAAAGAGCATTAATATGATTAATCTTAATATAAAGGAAGAAAGAATATAATTTGATTATAAGGAAGGAATATCATCTCATTGAAGATTGATAATGAGAAATTAATTTATCTGGTTGATTTTAAGGATTTGGTTTGATTGTAATTTTATTAATATGAAGATTTTTAATTAATTATTATTTCTCTATATTATACATTTCTTAACTTGTAAATAAGATTACTTATATAGAAGAAAAAAATGAAGAGAAATAGATGTACAAAACCCAAAAAGGTTTTTGTAGCGGGCATAAAGGCCTCTACAATACAAAAGTCTATGTAAATTTTGCACATTTATTTCTCTTTATTAAGGAAATAATAATCTTTCTATTATGAAAATAATAATCTTTCTATTAATGAGATTACAATTAATATCAAATCTTGAAATTCTTTTGTAAGCATTTAAAGGTGATTTACAAGCACGTTTTTAAGGGGAGTAAAGAGGATGAAATTATAATATGATTAATTCTAATATAAAAAGAAGAAAGAATATGATTCGATTATAGAAGGAATGAATATTAGATTATTGTAGGAATGAATATCAGATTATTGTAAAGATTGATCAAATTATGAGAAATTGACTTATCAATTAATTAATGTTAAGGATTTAATAACAATTGTAATCTTATTAATAGAAAAATTTTTAATAAATTATTATTTTCTTATATTATGTAAGAGAAATAAACTTGTAAATTTCATAGAGGCATTTATACCATGAATTGGGGGTTTTGACTTATTATGATGATTTGACATTATCTTAAATTACCTCTCTCATATATCTTTTATTTTGTTCGTATTGTTATTATTTATCTTTTATTTTATTTATATTATTTTTATCTTATCATAAGATTTTTACTATTAAAAATTTCCCCACTTTCTCTCAAAAAAAAAATAAAATAAAATAAAATTCCCCACTATATTAGAAACTTCTCACATGGTGCTGCCTTCTTATACTTCATTTTAAGGGGAGTCAATAGTCGGGAGAGAACATTTCTCCTGAATCATCGAACAATTGTTTTGCAGAAAACAGCGATTTCATCTTACATTTTCCTTTGTTAGGGACACTGGCCTTACAAATTCAGACATTCCAACTGGTCTTACAAATCTAAGCACCCAAAATTAGATAAGGTGACATGTTGTTGAAGCCCTTATTTAAAAAATTTGACAACTGGAGAGCCTTTTTTTATTCTGGTTGGTTTAACAGTTGCTTAAATGATTTTCATTTTTCGAGAACATAATAGTTCTCAAGTTAAATAAGACTAGTGCGTTTATGTTATTACCCAAAAGAATTGAGAGACCCAATGACAAAACTGGATGGTCCAATAAAGATGGGCAATTTTGCAGGTCCAATATCCTACTCTCTTTGTAGGCCTAACTATTGCCTCTCAGAAGCTGAAAGGGCATAACATGAATAAATAATGCTTATTGGGCCTAAAATGACAGACTGAAAAGGGGTAGAAAAATTGTGATCGACTTTTTTTCACAACAACGAGTCTCTATTCAGTTCAGGATGCAATCAACATGTCACATAACATATGCTGACTAGCTCATCAGCTCAGATTCGGCCTCTCTTTTTTGTTTAAATAGCAATATACTTGTGTAGTATTTCAGAAAAGTAAAGAGAAAAAAAAAAAAAAAAATCAGTGACAGCCTGTTTGATTCTGCTTCTTCTCCAAATGAGAAGTGCAGGTTTTAGTTTACATTTTGGTATAGGTTCCATGGCGAATCAATGTTGTCAACTTAATAATTATAAGCTTAAGATGGTAGGCTTTTTGCATGGGTATAATAGCCTCCATGGAATGAACATTAAACAAAACCACATTGTTCTGTGCTTTTGGGGACATGAATGCTCCTCTTCACAAATTTTATTTGGATTCTTCATCCTAAGTACCCCCATTGCTCATTTTTAATCATAACTAATTTATCAACCGTCGACCTTTATATATATATATATATATGTGCTCAAAGACACATGCATCTAATTAAGAACTTAAATTTTGTTAATGTTTTTGCAACCTTTTCTTTGGTCACAGCACTGGCCACTAAGTTCTCTTTTCAGGGAAAAAATAATCAATAACTTCAGGAGTATTAAAAAGCTCAAATCTAGAACATCTCATATTTACACCACGTCCTTTAATCACTGGATGTAAACCTCTTATTAAAGTCTACATGAGAAAGAATAGATCCTTTTGTTTGATTTATACCAAAGAATTGGAGATGCATTCCTTGGCCATCAATTCATGCATCCTATCAAAGAGTGAGTTAAAAGCTCCTTTTTCTGACATTAAATGGAAAGTAAAATTCATTTGAAAAGGATGTTTAGGTCATCATAAATCTCAAGTTAGTTAGATAAAATACCTTATACCTATATTCTCCATAGTGCTTTGAAAGGGAGTATATGGAATGACCCCCTAATTATTTTGCTTATCAGATTGAAAAGAGAGATAACATAATTAATTATTATTATTAGTAGCTCCCATGGTAATTTTCCTTTAGCTTTTTCCAATAATATTCCTTTAAGCTAGATTTTGTGAAAGGTTCTTTGTTACTAATACAAGTTATACTTGATGTGATACCCTTAATTAGTTGCTTTTGAATTATTTACTTCATCTTGCTTTCTGATATTGTGGGACTAATATAATGGCTTTGTACATCTGCCACCAAACATCTAGAAGGGTGTTAATGTTAAGTAAACCTAAGATAATGAGCACTTTTAATGAGAATGGCATAAGGGTGTGGGAATTTGATATGATGCATTGTAGTGAAAGCCAATATTTAGTTGATTGCATGATAATAGTTAGGTTTGAAGTTAGTAGGTTACCGACTCAACTAACTTTTCTTGTTGTCTTCTTAAGACAAAAATAAGCACTCAAGGGAGCTGAAAACCCCAGAACTTTTGTGGGCATAAAACTTGATGGTTTAATCCAATTTTGTGAGGAACAAATGGAATCACACAAGTCCTTACTGTTGGCTAAAGTTGAAAACTCTATCCACATGGGAAAAGGATGATGAGAAGGGGGGGAGGGGATAGAAGTTTGTGAAAGGATAAAATTGAGACAAAAATATAGTTTTGGTACCACTTAAAATTTCCAAAATCATGAGTTTTGTTGAGTCTTTTTCATTTAGGACACCATAGTTTGCTTAAAGAGGGACATTGGCACATTGCAAAGAGAAAAAAGGATGCAGTTGCTCTGCCAGGTGGCTAAACCCATGCAAATTCTGTCAATTTTCCATTTGCTCCCACGAGGACATGCAGCTACTCCTTTCTCCCTCTTCAACTTGGAAAGGTATTAATTTACAGGACCACACTACTCATTTGACTTGAAGACTTTTGCCTTTTAATAAGTGAATAAAATTAATTTTCGATTGTTAAAATTTTAGATCTCTCAAGAAATCAATTATATATTTAAATGTTAATATCTCATAGGTGTTGGTCTATGTTACTTGTCTAATAAATGATTTATGCCAAAATAACTTTAATTATATTAGTAAGCATTAATAATCAACCAAAAATGATTAGTTGAGTTTGGTACTGCTTTGTCATTAACTTCAAAGTGATCAGAATTAAGAATCAGAACTGAATTAGTATTGGAGCTAAGAGCCTAATTAGATCAAATGTTCAAACTTAAGCAACTTCTATGCAGATTAAAGAGAAGTAGGTATTAACACGAAGTGGGAAAGTTCATGGTAATAATAGACTTGACAAGTCGGACCAAAGGAAGGGTGTGAAGTTGTGAACTTTGTAAAAGGTTCTATCATTCTATGTTTGTGGAGGACCATTTAGCCCACGTGATACCATGTGGGAATGTAACAAATTTAACTTGAATAATCTATAGCGAAACAAAACTAATTAAATACAATGCGATCAAATATACATTACTATAAGTATAGGGTTTTGTGGTACTTGAATTCATTTTTGAATTGGCCATGATACATCAAATTAACATCTTTTTGTTAGTTCACAATTACTTACTGCCTTATTAATAATGCATACATCAATTAATATTCATTAGAAAATAATTGATTCAATGTCCTATTTTACATACTTTTTGATATTCATTTAGTTTAGTTATTAAAATATAGTATAAGTACGACTAATTTAGTCAATTCCGATATCTTGTATACATGGTTGAGTCTTTTAAATTTGTTTATTTTTAATTGTAGACCAAAAAATAATAGCTTTTTAGTGAGTGTATTATATAATATGTTAAACCAATAGTATATCAACCTTTGTAAAATTTTAATATCACATAGTATTTTAAATTTACAATTATAATGTGTCAAGATGTATGATTGACTCTCTTTATTAAAAAGTTTACTTGTAAAATTATATTCATATACTCATTTAATATATATATATATATAATTGACTTTTTCATTAAAAAATTTACTCATAATATTATATATATTTATTAATCATTTAATGATATATTATAATTATAATTTCACAATCCTAACGTAACGTAACATAACATTGCAATGCTTGTAATTTTGTGCCTAAATTTATTTATTTTTTTATAAGGGTAATGGTTAGTAGATTAGTATTGTTAAATGTTAGCAACTAAAAATTTGATCCCCAAACCAAATAAACAGCTCACCGACTTCAATAAGGCGTACAACCATCAAGCCGCTTGATGGAAATCAGGCCGCTTGGTAGAGTTGGTGCCTAAATTTATTTGAACCCTCTGGAAGAAAGAAAGGCGGCTAAGAACGCCAAAAGAAAAAGAGGAAATTCCACAAAAAAGGTATTAAAGGTAACTTTTCTTTTATTAAGGTTTTAGATTTGCTGTGAATACTCACCAAAGAAACCTTGCATCTGCCCTTTTTTCATTCCTCCAAACCCACTAACATATATTAAAATATACACCCTTTTTTCCTAAAAATTAAAAATTAAAATTAAATATCTCCCAATCTCCTTCACTCCCTTCACGTGGACAGCTCGTGATGTGAATGGGTACATTAGAATTCAATAAATATGATTGACTTTCGAAACAATAACTAAATCCTAGTCCCCCAAAGATTCTTAATTCTAGTCCCACCTAGTGCTATGTTGTGTACCCTAAATTAGACCCCTAGGAGCATCAATGTTGTGTAAGTATTTAAACCCATTATGTCCCACAATATCTAGATTCTCTACCAAGGCAAAACAACATCCTTTTTCTTGAGTGTAATGCTCTTGTTTTTTTCATGTTCCTTCACCCTATATATATACCCCCTTTCCCATCCTTACCAAACCAACCCACAACAAAAACCCTTCTACTACTCTCTATACACACATATTTTTCTAGCAAAATGTCTGGTATTTGGAAGTTCAATAGTAATGGTGTATATGAAATTGTTAATCCACAAGCAGAAAGTAATTCGGAAGGAAGGCAAGGTGGGTCGTCCGTCGGGCGATCAACGGTTTTGGAGTATTTGCCAACTAGTCAGGTGATATCTTCCTACTCTGAATTAGACCAGATTTTGAGCGATTTAGGGTGGGAAAGGTACAGAGGAGCCCCTGACCTCTTGCAATACCACAAGCAGTACTCTAATGACCTCATTTCACTCCCAAGAGACTTCACCATGTTCAGCTCAGTTCACATGTTCGATATTGTCGTTAAGATTCCCAATGTCTTCCACGTTCGTGATATGTGAGAAACTACCCATCTCTCAATTCCCTCCATATTACATATGTTTCTTGTAATATCTTTCTTCTATGTGTGATGATTTCAGCTTAAGTATTTCTCCTATATATATATATATATGTCGTTTGAATATTAGTATGTCTTCTACATATAAATATGATCAATAGTTGTGCGTTTATGTAAGCTTTGTAATAATTAATGTTATTGTAAGTTCATTTATAATTATTATATATGTTATGGATTATATAACTCTGAAATTCTAAACTATTGAAGACTCCAACAATTTGAGATTCATGACAATATCTTCCATATCATTTTTTGTGCGGTCGTGCAAGTAAGCTCATTTGGACTGTTCTACAGTATATTATTGCAATTGTTGCAAGGAATTTCTCTTTAAAATCACTTATAAAAACAAATAATATTTATGTACACACAAATTAGATAAACTAATAATTTGTTTATATACTGTAATTGCACCAAACCAAAAGTCCTTCTTCAGTTCGTGTCTTCACTCCGGATAAACCTGCAAAGCCCTGAGGTGGATTCTCGGGGTACACACTATGATTCTTGAGTCAGCAATAATTGAATCCACCTTTAGAATAATGGAAAAATGAGCTTTAGGTCGGTTCAATTACCTTTTTGAGGTGGCCCCTAGGGGTATTTATAGGCTTTAATGAGGTGTCCATATGGCTTGTTTAACAAGATAATCGGAGTCTAACGTGTCCCTTCAAGCGATGATCTCGGGACCGGGAAATCAAGTGCGAACACGCTCACTGTACCTGTCATACAGCTGTTGGATCGAGAAGTGATGGATTTAACCTTCACTTTGGTTATTAACGAAATGTAGTAGTATGTACAAGATTAAGAACCTCATACCTATCCTTACACTATTCCCCCTTCGAAGTCATTCACTTGTGAATGATGTAGTTAGAAGTGGGAAGGGAAGTGTATATTTTATTGGAGAATACATGATAAAATGTGATGAAATATCACAAGACTAAGTAATGAGGGGAGTATGCTGGATCTGAAATAAAATGAGTGACTCGGGGTCATTATGGCAGTAACCGAAGTAAAATAGATGACTCGGGGTCATTATAGCCGGAACCAAAGTAAAATAGGTGACTCGGGGTCATTATGGCCGGAGTCGAAGTAAAATAGGTGACTTGGGGGCACTATGGCTGAAGCCGAAGTAAAATAGTAATAACCGGAGTCATTGTGGTTGGAGTTCGAAGTAACAAGTAATGACCTGAGTCATGGTGGCCGAAACCGAAGTAACAAGTAATGATCGGAGTCATTGTGGTAGGAGCCAAGGTAAAAAGTGTAACTCAAGGTCACCCGAGGTTAAACACTTATGTAAAATTGAAAGACATTTGTCAAAGCAAAAGGACTTGGGTTGGGCTTAGTTGGGCTTGTGTAAAAAGCCTGCCACAGAGTTATTACGTGATATGACAGCTGTTTTTTGAAAAATGTGTACAATAAATACGGGCTGTAAAAAGTAACTGCTATAGTTAAATAGACACAATAAAAAAGGAACAGTCAAATTCGAGAGGGTTCCGTCAGGGATTAACTATCGAATTCGAAACGGTGTAATTGTGACTGTCAGATAAAATTAATCACAACCGTTAAGGCGTATATTTGCTTTGGTATATATAACTATACTTCTGTAGAAAAAGTTATACTTTTGCTGTATTTGCTACCGAAGTGCTACCAAAATTTTCACTATGCTTGTGCAACTGATTTCTGCGTTACATTTTTTACTTCGAAACTTCTTCTGCACTACTTAAATGAGGTAACTTATGAACTTTGGTGATTCTGATACTAGTGACAAGTTTTATTCTCCTCTCACCCTTTCTGATTTAGATTTAAACCTTCTTAAGGAGGTTAGGATTAGGAGTGAGAGTGATATTGAGTGTGAGTTAGAGGTTTTTAAAGATCTTGACTTCATTTCCCCCCTAGTCCCTGTAGTGAAAGTTACAAAACTAAGGAGATGTCTTTTAAGGAAACATTAAGCGTTGAGGGGTGCAAGGAAGTGAAGGCGTTGGAGTATGGTGATGGGGGCATGGAGAGTGGGCTGTCCAGGTCAGATAGAACTGAGGATGAGGTGGGTGTTAGGGAAATGATTGAGGGTGAGGGAGAAGAAATGCCCTCGAATATTTTGGAAATTGAGGGTGGGGGTGATAGGTGTTATGATGTAGAGGCAGACATTGTCTCTGAAGTTAAAGGATATGAGAGTGAACTGGTTACTAGGGATAGCTTTAGTTACCTAGTTAAAACTTATGACCTCCCACATCAAGTTTTGATTAGGCCTACCGGGGTAAAGGAGAGAGCTTGCTCAGCACCTTGGGACCATTGAATGCCTATGTATGCTCATTATTTAGCAGCAAGGCTTAGGTTTCCAATTCCAAAGTTGCTGGTTTGGTTACTATTGGAGTATAACATAGGTTTGACCCAATTGGTTCCTATTGCAGTAAGGGTGATAATTGGTTTTGTGGTGTACTGCTGGGCTAAGGGTGTTAAGGTGCCCACTGTGAATATGTTTAAACATTTTTTTGTATGTAAGGCTGGGAGTAGGAAGGAGAAGGGATGGTATTACTTCACACCCCGGGTGTCTAACGAAGAAAAAAGGGACTTATTTACTACAAGACCTTCATCCATTAAGGGATGGAAGGAAAAATTTTTCTTTGTTGATGATATGGAGTGGGAAATGAGGGATGGAGAGGTAGAATTTTTGTGTAGTTGGAAGGCTAAGAAAGCCAACCAAAATAAGTATAGCTTAAATAGTGATGAGAAGAAAAGGTAGAGAAGTTGGTGAGGGAAGGAGGTGAAATCTTGGATATCATGTACCTCACCAGCTCGGATGTCATAGAAGCTACTGAGCTCTATGGGCCAAGCTCATTGAGTGAAGGTGTGTTTATGTTTTGCTTTGCATGATTTAGTGTTGGTTTTTGACTTATGTTTTTAACATTTTTGCTATTTTGCAGCTGAGATGGATAAATTTTTGAGTGCTGCTAGAGGGATAGCCATTCCTAAGAAGCCAAGGAAAAAATCAAAGACTTTTGAGACTGCTACAAGTGGGAAAGGAGATGGGAATAAGGAGAAAGAGCAGATATCAAGTACAACAGTCCGAGCTGTGGATGTTGATGAGCTGAGGTCGGATCCCAAACGAAAAAGAAGTGAAGAAGTGGATCCAGCTCAGAAGAAGAAGAGGAAAGTGGCAGAGGATAAGGTAAGGGGGGACGAGGTAGTGGAGTTTATACCTCAGCCACCTCTTGTGGCAGAGGATGAGGTCAGGGGGGACGAGGTAGTGGAGTTTATACCTCAGCCACCTCCTGTTGAGCATGATCCCGAGCTCAGAGAGACTAGGGTTACAACCCATGGCAAGGGTAAAGCTCTTGTTCCTACTTCTTCCCTCCAGAGCAGCATTTTTGGGAACAAGAATATGTCGACGGCAAAGAATTTCATTAACTCATATGTTCCTGAAGTGGATCGCCGTAGAGCAAAGGAGGAAACGTTGATTCATGGAGGGAGTTCAATTGTGAAGCATGCTCTTGAGGTAAGCTTAGTGATAATAAGTCTTAGTGATAATAAGTCTTAGTGTTTTTGTCTCTTCTTCTTCTTCTTTTTAACTGGTATTCCTATTGTAGACTACAACCTGGGTTAATGTGCTAGCCTAAGAGTTCATGGAACTCGTTAAGGAGCGTAATAGCCTACAAAAAGAGAAAGACAAGTTGCAGAAGAAAAATGGGGAAATGCAGAGGGAGCTGGATATTGCAACACCAATGGTGACGAGCTTACAAAACTAGAGAGACTTGTTGAAGACGATTCTTTCATTCAAAGAAAAGAAGAGAAAAATGTGTGAGGAAGAGAATGAAGCACAAGAGAAAGAAATAAAGAGAATGAAAGAATTTGAAGCCGAGCTAAAAAAGAATGTGAAGCTGTTGGTGCATAATGGGATGGAAGAACACATTGTCAATTTCCTCAACTCCAGCTCATTTGACAATATTGTCAAACTCTACCGGCTGCCTACAGTGATCCTTGCCTTCACTGATTGCAGAAAAAAAGTGAAAGCTCAATATCCCAAAGTGGATGTAACAAAGATAACCTTCGGCGAACAAGAGGAAGGAGTGGAGGAGAACGGTGAAAGCATGTCAACTGATTTCTGTCCTCAGATTAAGCTGAGGTGGGATCATGATGAAGAAGGACGCACCATTTTTCCTTCTAATTTTGACTTCGAGTTCGTGGCAATGGAGGAAGGGGAAAGAGGGGTAGAAGGTATTGAAGTTGAGGAGAGCCAACCACCTTTTCCAGTAGAGGTCCATCCAGTTCTTTCAAAAGAAGAGCAGCCACCTCTTCTTACAGAGCAACAGCCACCTCCCTCAATAGAGTAGCTATGGTTCTATTTTTTTATTTATGGTTTGTGTTAAAATTCATTGATTTTATGTTGAATATTTTTGTAATGTTTTTTAATCAATGCATGGATTTATTTGAAGTTTGTTGTGACATTTGTTTTGGGTTTTATTAATGTAAGAATTAAGATGAAGTAAATCACTTTGAATGTGAATTGAAATTCATTAATAAGATTGAAATCCAGGAATGAAGTGAATTACAAATTGATCTCGGAAGAACGTTCAAATAAATGAAATTAATCTCAACAAGGGGAAGTAATAGTCATAAAGGGAAATAAGACAAAGTTCAGTAAAAGAAGTGGATTAAGCATAAAATTTCTTCAAGTTGTTGACATTCCAAACTCTAGGAACTCTTTTCCCTTCAGTGTCCTGAAAGATATAGGCACCAGGATGTGCTACTTCGGCCACTGTGTAAGGGCCTTCCCAGTTTAGTGCTAGTTTGCCAAAACGAGTTTCAAACCCAGTTAGGCCAGCTTTTCTCAAAACTAGGTTGCTAACTTTGAATGTTTGAGGATGAACTCGTTTGTTGTACAAGTTGGCTAATTTCTGCTTGTATACCAAAGTTCGAAGTCATGCTTCCTCTTTGACTTCGTTAAGCAGGTCAAGGTTCTCCCAAAGCAGTTGTCCATTTCATTCTTCATCGAAATAGGAATGATTGCTTTGGTACCAAAGGCCAGGTGATAGGGTGTTTCACCTATGTCATTAAGTTATAGTTTTTAGAATATGCCTTATATGTTATGCATATTTAATCTAGGGTTAAGCCATAAAAGAAGAAATAAAGTAGTATGAAAGTAACTCAAGTTGGAAATAGTACGTGTGGCAGTTCGGCTCGTAGTTCTATATGCCCAGAGGGCATTGTTGAGCTTGTCTGCCCACCTAGCCTTGTGCTACTCCAACCTCGATTTGTTTCCCTCAAGGATAGCTTTGTTGACAGATTCCACCATACCATTGGACTCCAGATGGTATACCGAGGTAAACTATAATTTGATCCCGTAACTAGAGCAGAAATCTCTAAATGAAAGGCAGTTAAATTGAGTGTCATTGTCAGCCACAATTTGATTTGGGATCCCATATCTGCAGATGATTGAGCTGAAAACAAAGTCTACAACCTTTTTGGAGGTAAGGCTGGATAATGACCAAGTTTCAACCCATTTCGTAAAATAATCAACACCAACGACTAGATGGGTTACACCTCTAACCTCTTTCATAAATAGGCCTAAAAGATCAAGTCCCCACTGAGCAAATGGCCACGGTGCCACCAAGTTGGTGAGCTCTTCTGCTAGTCAGTGACTCAAGTGTGCAAAGAATTGGCACTTCAAGCACCTTTATACAAAGTGAGTGGCATCCTTATAAATATTCGGCCAGTAATATCCCTGTCTGAGGACTTTATGAGCCAAGGTTCTAGTGCCAATATGACTTCCACATACGCTTTCATGTACCTCCCAACGTGCGTATTCAGCTTTATAAGGATTCAAACATCAGAGGAGAGGAAGTGAGAAAGATCTCTTATAGAGGACTCCATCAACAAGTGTGTACCGAGACGCTTTCTTCCTCAACCTCATCTCTTCTTGCTTATCTCCAGGCACTGACCCATCTCGTAAGAAAGAGACAATTGGATCTGTCTAGCTCAATGTATTCAGATCTGTGCTGATCTCCATCATTTTTGGCTTTAGGTAGCTTGGCTCATCTAAAACTTCAACGAAAATTGATCTGGAGCTTTGGGAGCTATCGAAGGCGAACTTAGAAAGTGAATTTGTTTGTTCATTTTCAGCTCGGGGTATTTTGCTCAAACAAAATTTTTGGAATTTTCACCTCAGCTCGGCCACTAGGGCTACATACTTCATCATGATAGAATCAACCACCTTACAGACTGAGTTGACTTGATTAACCACAAGCTGTAAGTCACTATATACTTGTATTGTCGTGACTTTCAGCTCTAATACTAGTTGCAAGCCAAGTAGCAGAGCTTCATATTCAGCCATGTTATTAGTTGCATCGACATGGAATTTCAAAGCATGCTCACTTCGATATCCATCTGAACCAACTAGGAATGCACAAGTTCTGGAGCCTTTGCTACTTGATGCTCCATCAACATATAGAATCCAACTGTCAGGCTCGGGGTTAGAATTTGAGTGATCTGAGGTGCATTCCATAATAAAATCTACTAGTGCTTGAGCTCGAATTGCTGACCTCTGTTGAAACGTTATTTTAGATTCCCCCAATTCCACAGCCCATTTGATCAATCTTCCTAAGCATTCTGACTTCTGTAGAATTTGTTAAAGAGGTTGGTCTATGAGGACTATGATTGGGTGTGACTGAAAATATGGCCTCAGCTTCCTAGCTGAGGTGACAACTATTAATGCTGCTTTCTCAACAATGGAATACCTTATCTCTGCTCCATATAATACACTGTTAGTATAATAAATTGGTTTTCGCTGCTTCCCTTCTTCTCGTACTAGTACAAAACTGATTACTTCGTCTGAGATGATGAGTACAAATAAAGGATCTCTCTATCAATAGCTTTTGTCAACAAAAAAGGTGAGTTAAGATAAGACTTTAGTTCATCAAATGCAGCTTAACATTTTGAATTCCATTCAAACTTCTTCTATTTGCCAGATTCATCTTTCTAAGTTGTTGATCTCATGATCTTGAAGAATGGCAAACATTTGTTTGTTGACTTTGATATAAACTTGTGAACAGCTGCCACTTTCCCTGTTAATCTCTGTACATTCTTTATTGACCTTGGTGGTTCCATCTCGGCTACTGCTTTAATCTTTTCTGGGTTAACCTCAATTCCCTTCCTGGATACCATGAAGCCTAGAAATTTTCCAAACTCCACACCAAAGATGCACTTCGCTGGGTTCGACTGCATTTTATTCTTTCTCAAGTTGTTAAATGTCTCATCAAGATCAGCTAAATGATCTTCGGCTTTCAGGCTTTTCACCACAATGTCATCAACATAAACTTCCAAATTCCTACCTATTTGAGTTCGGAATACAATGGTCACCATCTTCTAGTAAGTGGCACCTGCATTCTTTAAGCCAAAGGGCATCATGACAAAACAATAGATTTCATCATCTACGTAGAATGAGGTCTTCTCTTCATCCTCAAGAGCCATCAAGACTTGGTGATAACCAGAATATGCATCTAAGAGACTTAATCTCTCGTTTCCAAAAGCTGCCTCAACCAGTTTGTCAATGTTTGGCACCGGATAACAGTCTTTGGGAGACGTCTTGTTAAGATTTGTGTAATCAATGCATATTCGCCACTTGCCATTTGCTTTCTTGACCAGTAATGGATTGGCTACCCACTCACAGTAATCAACCTTTCTAACAAAATCAGCTTGCAAGAGTTTCTCCACCTTTTCCTTTATGACCTTAAGCCTCTTCCCCCCAAAGAGGCATCGCTTCTAGGCTACTAGTTTCTTTAATGGATTGGTGCTAAGCTTATGTTGAGATTAGAATGAGGTTAGCATCCCTGGCATATCTGCTGAGGTCCAAGCAAAAACGTCTTTATTAGCTCGAAGGAAAGCTATTAGTTTTGCTCTTTCCTCTAGGTTCAACAGAGGTCCGATTTGTGTCTTTCTATTTGGATCTCTGTCATCAATCTGCACTTCCTCAGCATCTTCAATTGGAGCAGCTCAAGTTTCATCTTTAGGTCTGTTATAAAGTACCTCGACCCCCATAACCTGCTGGTTATCATGAACTTCCTGTGAAATAGTTTCTGATGTCTGATCTTGTCCTTTCTGAGGCCTTGTAACCGAGGTAATATAGCAATGTCTTGCCACCTCTGGTTGCCTTGTAATGTTGCTACCCCTATAGGGGTTGGAAACTTCATACAGAGGTGAGATTGAGAGACCACAGCTCGAATCTCAATTAATGTAGGTCATCTAATAGTAGCATTGAAGGATGAGACCATTTTGACAACTAGAAACGAAACTGATGGGGTAATGTAAGTTTGGCCGCTCCCAAAAGCAACATTGAGAGTAAGGACTCCTTTTACCTAAATAGATTGGTTATTGAATCCATATATAGGACCATTGTACCTTTGCAATAAAGCTAAATCTAGTCCTAGGCTCTCAAAACAATGATAATACATAATGTTCGGTGCACTCCTTGTGTCAACAAGGACACGTTGTACCTCACAGTTATTAATCATAACAGAAGTGACCAAAGGATCATTATGGGGTGTTACAACTGTATCGAAGTCAACAGATATGAAAGTGATGGGTTGATTCTTCCAGTCAGCATTATCAAACTTTCTTTTCTGAGCTCTGTTTTGATGCTTCACCTCCCTAACATATAACTTCCTTTGCTTGGAGCTCAAACCCCCTGCTTCCAATCCTCCCGTAATCATGTGTATAATTCTGGCTGGTGGCGGAAGTGGAGATGGGGCTTGTTGATATCCCACTCCTTGCCTATTTCCAACATTACGAGATCCCTGTGGCTGTGGCCCCTATTCTCTGACAAACTTTGGCTTCTCGGTTATCTGGATTTGTTCATTCAGCATGCCTTTCTGAGTTAGACTTTCCAATTCGGACCTCAGACTATTACATTCCTCCGTTGTATGACCATGATCTTGATGAAAATCATAGTATCTAGTATGGTTACACGTAGTAGTAGAACTTTTCATCGGCCCTGGTCACCTCAAATCCATCTTATTCTTGATCTGCATGAATATCTGCGACCTAGACAGATTAAAAGAAGTCTATGTAACTGGTGCTTTATTGGTAGTTTGTTGGAGAGGTACCGAGTTCGGTCTTCCCAATCTCGGTGTGGAGGCTGACATCAAATCTTGATTCTGTATTGTCGTCATCCGCTTTCTACTTTGGCCCTCATCTCTCTAAGCTGGGTTTTGATTCTTAACAAGAACTAGCTTCTGTGACAAGGCATATTCCTCAGCAGTTATGAATTTCAAAGATCTGTCATTAACCTTGTTACAAGTGGCAGTGCGATGCTTAATTAAGTTGTCTCTGAATCTTTCATGGTTAAGACCCTGAATTAAAACTGCAATTCCCATAGCTTGATCGAATGAGCTAACCTCCAAAACTGCATCATTGAATCTGCTCATGTAATTCTTTAGAGATTCTCTATCTCTCTGCATGACTCGCATCAGCTCAGAAGTAGTTTTCCTAATCAACCTTCTACTGAAAAACTTTGTAGCAAAAGCAGATGTCATCTTTGTATAAGAACTGATAGATCTCGGAGGTAGACTGTAATACCACATTCGAGCATTGCCTCGGAGAGTGGAAAGAAAGATCTTACACATCAATGCATCAGAGGCATTCTGAGCCTGCATACAGGAGTAAAAAGCATGCAGATGGTCATCTGAGTCCTTCGTTCCATCATATGTCTCAAGCTAAGGTATCTTGAAACCAGTAGGATAAAGTTCCAATGATATGTTGGTGTTCAGAGGATGAGGTATTGAATTAGTATTATGGTGAAAAGGTGGAGCACCTTGTTGCTCGGCTACCATTTTTTCTAAGCTGTCTAGACGTTGTGTGAAATCATCAGGTAGAGGTTGTTAAGCTGGGGCCACATGAGATTGACCTTGAGACTCACTGAGGGCAGGAGCATGTGTCAGATCATTGGAGTGAACTGGTTGGGGCTCTTGCTATTGAATTTGAGGTTGTTGAGTAGATTAATGAAGGGATCACTAAGATTATTCCAAGCTAAAAATTGATCCAAAACCAACTAAAAAACACCAAACTATTGTTGCATTGTGGCGAACTGAGCTGAGCTGAGACTACATTACCTTGGTTCGGGATGGGAGCTAAATTGTGAGGTTGGTTCTCATCACCTCTTTCTACATGTTCAACAGGAGGGAATAGATTCGGGATATGAGGTGGAAGGTTATTGAGGTACTGAGCTTGGCCTTGGGTAGGAGGCTGAGCCTGACTTTTAGCTCGGACAGATCGAGTGTTAACCATGATGAAAGAACAACAAGAGAGCTTTTAGTTCGGATTCCCACAGACAGCTCCAAATGTAATTGCACCAAACCAAAAGTCCTTCTTCAATCCATGTCTTCACTCTGGATAAATCTGCAAAGCCCCGAGGTGGATCATCGGGGTAGACACTTCGATGCTTAAGTCAACAATAATCGAATCTACCTTTAGAATAATGGAAAAAGGAGTTTTGGGTCGGTTTCAATTAACTTTCTGAGGTGGCCCCTGGGGGTATTTATAGGCCTTAATGAGGTGTCCATGTGGCTTGCTTAACAAAATAATCGAAGTTTAACGTATCCCTTCAGGCGATGATCTCGGGACTGGGAAATCAGGTGTGAACACGCTCACTGTACCTATCATACAACTGTTTGACCGGGAAGTGATGAATTTAACCTTTACTTCGGTTATTAATGAAACGTAGCAGTATGTCCAAGGTTAAGAACTTCAGACCTATCCTTACATATACACAAGTTAATTTAGACATGACTATTTTAATCATCCAAGAAAAACAATTTATCATCATCACGTTCATGTAAAAAATTAAACAAAATTTTCCATCAAATGATAAAGGATTAAAGCCAATTATAGTCCCTCTACTTTCAATTTTCATTCATTGTCCTCCCTATACCTTGAACTCATTCAATGACCTCCCTCTACGCTTTGAAAACATGTTACTATCCTCTCTCTACTTTAAGTTTTTATACTACTTACCTCCCTCACATAACACTTAGTTAAAACCGTTACTAATAGTCATCTAACAGAGTTTTTTCATCATTAAACCTCAATTCATCCATTAATTTAGTATTATTTTTTGTTGAATTCAATTAGTGCAACCCACTAATTCCATGTTAGTGATGTCTCGCCTCAAAATTAATACCCTTTGGCTAAGCGGTTGTTGTAGCGTAACTTTAGGTATCGAACCCACAGGGAAGCTATATTAAATCAACAAAAAGAGTTGTCAAAATGAGAAATTAAATTAAAAAATGAATTCTAAAATTAAGAATAAAAATATTTAAATAAACGATGATAATTGTAAAATATTAAAAACAATATTATGATGAACAAGACTTCAGGGTTCACTTAATTGATTTGTTTAACTGTTATAAATTTTGATTTCTATTTATTACTCAATTGCATGTTTCACATCCCAAACAAACAATCGGAAGATTCAACTTTGAAAACCAATAATAATGACTAATGTATTTATTCTAAGAAATATTAATTTCAATAAAGAACAAACTGATCTATCCTTACGAGCTATCCGAGAGCGACAATATATCTAATCGACAATACTGCAGTAAAGGATCAACCCGCAAAACAAATCTACCAATCAATTATATTATAACAAATCACACATAAAAAGAGCATGACTAATCTTATATAAAATTTGATAAATATAATTTTCAAGGTTTTCAGATCTGAAAATAATTAACAATCTCTCAAAAATAAAATTAAATAATAAAATCTATGAAGGAATCAAAATAAAATAACTTTCAAGGTTTTCAGATCTGAAAATAATTAACAATCTCTCAAAAATAAAATTAAATAATAAAATTTATGAAAGAATCAAAATAAAATAACAAGTCAAACTCTTCAATTAAGATCCTCCCTAGTCTTGTTGAAAGTTTAGTTGCCCTTTGACATAATTCTCTAGCCTTGAAGAAGAAAGTAGAAGTCTGGTAGCAGCCTCTCCAGCCCCTGGAACCCCCTCTAAAATAACTTGGATGGGTATTTATAGAATCCTAGAAACCCTAATTAGAATGGATGTCGGGCTGGGCTGAATTACTGCGCAAGGGGTCGACACTCTTCAAAAGGTGCCGGCACTTTGAGTGGAGCGTCAGCTGCATCCTCCGTGTCGGGTTTTTGGCCTTTTGTGCAATTTTGCTTAATGGCAGAATAACAGTCTTGGTCCCTGACTCCTGGATTCCGTGCAAGTTGATCATCATATTTCTGAGCTTTGCAATTTGCTCCTTGATCAAGAATGGAGAAAATCTCACTTGAGCCTTTAAACTTCTGATTTATTCTTAGATCCTCATCTTTCAGCTCTTTGCATTTAAGTCCTTTTTCTTCTAATTCTCTCCATTTAGTCATCAAACCTTTAATCACCAAAATTTTGCACAACATGAATAGAGTGAACAATTATGAAATTATTTGTAGAAAAATATAACTCTTAAACCCATAATTTCACAAATGTCCATGGTTAAGCACACTTTAGATATACATTTTCATGCTTTCATCAGTTAGCAACTTAGCTTAGCCCCCACAAGTTTGGTATCGACACCTACTTTGTGGTATTAGTACTATACGTTAAGCCTTTAAAAGACAGGTTTCGAATGAAATAAATAGAAGTGCCAATACTTATATTATGGTGTCAACACTAAATGTCCTTTTAGCTTTAAGAATTTTTATTTTTATTACATGTCCTACTACTTTTCTAATAGAATTTCCTAAATTCTATAAATACTCATTCAAAACCAAACTTAGGAGGTTTTTGGGATTAAGCTTAAAATTTTATATCGTCAAACTAATTTTACTTATTTTTAAATTTTGTCTTATAATGTCGAATATTCTTACATTCATCCTAAGATATTTTATTTTATTTTATTTTCTTTAATTATGAATTAATTTAGCCACCAAAAGCTACGATATAGCTTAATTAATTTGATATAGAATTTCATGATCATTATATTTTCAAGACTTATCATTTCATGTGAAGAATATATTATTGTTTTTAATACTTTTTAATGATTGACCATCATTAAAACTATTTTGGAGAGCATAACTAAGACTAACTTCTAATAACATATATCATAAATTGAACGAAAGTTAGAGATGGATCAACTTGATTTGTGTAAAATTAATGATAAGTGGACTTGATTTTTTATGTAAATTAAGAATTTCATAAAATATAATACATTTTTATTTATTTAAATTCATATAAAGATATAATAGGTTAACATGTGAAGATAGGTTTAATATAACTTGAAAAAATATATTGAATAAGATTAGAAATCTCTCTATCATAGAAGTATTAAAGACCTTGAAATTATATTGATTTAAATTCTATATTAGTTGACCATGATGAAATCAGATGCTTTAAAATTTCATCTCTTTGTGTCACTTAAAGTCAATTTAATTTCTCTTTAATTAGTTTAATGAATTAGTTCATTTAAATCATTTAATTTTAATTGTTCAAATAAAAGCAGAATTATTTAATTTTGATACTTAATTAACCTATTGTTTTTACGAGACGAAACTTGATTTTACCATTCTATTATTTGAATTAAATAATACTCTTACTAGAGTGAAATTAGTTCATCAACAGCACCACGTCTGTTTGAAATTGTTTGATGAAGACAGTTATTCAAACCTTGAAATCCATTTCAAACTCATTATTAAGGAATTTAATTGAGAAATTTAGATGAGTTGTACAGAATAATTCAAAAAAAAATTTTCCATAAGTTGCTAACTTAAAATTAATGAGGCCTACTAGTTGAAATTTAACAAAAAAATAATAATAAATTGATAGATAAGTTGAGGTTTAAAGGTGAAAAAATTCATTTGATAACTGTTAGTAACAGTGTTAGTTGAGTGCTAGATGAGGGGGGTAAGTCGTATGAAAACTTAAAGTAGTGGGAGGACAATAGTATATTTTGGAAGAGTAAAGGAAGGTCTTTGAATGATTCCAAAGTATGGAGAGGACAATTAATAAAAATTGAAAGTAGAGGGACTACAATCGGCTTTAACCCAATGATAAAAAGCAGGTTAAGAAGCTGAAGCTGAAGTGAATCCCATATGGGATAGAAAGAAAGAGGCACCGACGGATGAGGGAGATGTGGTGTGTCACGTGGAGTTAAATGGTGACACATCATCAAAATCTAAAATAACAGCTACACGTGTCCTGATGGGATGTGCCAAGTCATTATACTACTAGTAGTTTCAAAGAATTTAGGTACACGTGGCACATCCTCTTAGGATTTTGGCCACGGGACTCTAAAAAGATTTGCTACTAAAAAGTACGAGAAAGACAACTTTCTTATAACTGTTCTGCACTAGTTTGCTCTAGCAGGAGCCGGACCACAATAAAAGGCAAAAAGCATGTTGTGGTTATTGTCCCACGAAACAATATTATGGCCTAATGAATTTTTAAATTTTTATTTTTGTTTGATTACAAAAAAAAAATTAATAATTAATAAAATAATTTATATTTAAAATTTTAAGTTATATAATAAAAAAATTTTATTTATTCACACTCATATGATATGGAACTTAAATTTAAAATATTTTATTTTTATTAAAAATAAATTACTATTAAGTTATTTAATCATTAACATTGAGAAAACAATTAATATTTATTATTTAACATATTAAAATTAATTTATGACAAATTTAATTTTCAAAATACTATAATCAATTACTTTTTTAATTAGATTTAATTGTTTTAATTTAACTTTTATACAAAATTTAATAAGATAATTTTATGTAATAAATAAATGATAATTAAAAGTCTTTTTCTTTCCATAAGTAATTCTTATTAAGTATTTTCATTTAAATTAAAAAAAATTTCAATTATTATTTATTTATTACATAAAATTATATTGTCAAATTTTATATAAAAGCTAAATTAAAACCATTTAATTTGACCAAAGGAGGTATTTTAAAAAAATATTAAATTAATAAAATATCAAAAAAAAAAACCTATTTAGAGAT